AACACTGCAGTTGCTGAAAATGTATGAGTTTTTCTTCGTTCTTTGTGCCACGCAGTAACTTATATGATGGAGCATGTCTGCATGGGGATGCCTGATTAACCGTAGCAGTAAAATCAGGGAACTGCTTTTTGACATTGGTTTTGAACAATGGATTGTACAATTCAAGTGGCAATCCCAAAAATTTAGAAGCAACAGAAAATATCTTTCCTTTATTTTTAAAAATAAGATCCATTGAAAATACCCAAAAAACCACAAATATCAGAGAAAAATATTTCGGTTCTTCACTGCAATGGACATAAATATACATTTAATTGTGATTAAAAACACCAGTGCAACGATTTTTGATAATACCCTCATAATTTTATATTTGAACAATCAGGATGTGACAAGCGCTGCCTGGAATACAACAACAACAAAATTGTGAAGAAAAAGAGGCGGTAAAAACTTTGAAATTTTTCATTGAACGACGAAGAATAGTGCTTCAAGTCCCCAATCTTCGGAAGCTCAAGTAAATTCGAAAAAGCTAAGTATGTTTTCAAAAGTTCAAGATTTCACACGATGAGTTATTCAAGATCTCAGAGCAGTATTCTCATCAATATTCAAACCTGCATACGGCACCGTATATGCAACCGAATGTTTTAGTTTTCCTAATAGATTTTTGTGCTTCTAGCACCGCGTGTTTTTGAACACGCGTTTTATTAGCTCTCTAATAAAACAAGGTTCATTCTGTTCGTATTTTTTATGAAGTTCCCACAAATAGTAAAAGACAAAATAAATGTCTTACTGGCCTTACATGCCAATGTACACTCCACATCATTTATGTTTTCACTGAGGTCTTAGGATGAAGGAGAATAAGAAATGCATTCCGATTTATTGTTCTTCCTTAGGACCGACCTCTAGGAATTTACTACAAAGCTCAAACCTGAGAAGCAACGAATGTGATCGTGACAGATATGTTATTGAGATCTGATACGTTCGTGGTCGGATGATATTTTCTGGAAAAATAAAAAGCCGAGTACAGTAACTGGGAGATAACATATAATAACATTATAACATTTTTATTTCTGTTTGATGAGCCTCCACTTGAGCACATTTTCTCATCACATACCACAGTCAGGTAGGATCAAAGACAGAATACAAAATGGACGGAAGCAGAAACAAATATAATCTAATGAGGCATAAGTGGAATAAAATTTAATTCTGAAGAAAGAAACCTATAGGGGTTTCTAAATTTTCACTTATTGGGACTCCGTCAAAACTAGTGAAAATGTTACAGGGACAAAGAAATTAAAATTTATTGGGGCGTCTTGCATTAAATATGGCTGGAAAAATAGTGCTGATTAAAAAAAAAGTTGAGCCTGTACTTTTATTAGAAATTTGAAAGGAAAAGCTAATCAGGATTACCATAGCACATAATGGGCTAGAAGTATTCAAGTACAGTAATTTGAATCTGCATTTTCAAAGCAATTGAAAGTTTTATATGTATATATATGTGTGTGTGTGTGTGTGCTTGTGTGCCCGCCTCGTTTTTTCGCGTCTTTCATGAATTCCAGCTGCAATTCTCGGATTCGATTTTCTTTGTGATACTTTATCCTGCTATCTCTCGTTCGATATGAAAAATAAACTCGAAAATGATCAAGGAGACGGCAGCCGAAGTCCGTGCTTTCGGGAGAGAAATCAGGAAAATCCACGGCCTGAAAGTTTCGGAAAAAAAATAAGTGGCAACTAAAGAAGTAAAAAATAAGTAGCGATCAGTTCAACAGCGTACTGACTACTGAGAAGCCCCATGCGCGAGCTGTGCTGGTCGATGTGACTTATTGCTGAACAGAGAACTATAGTGATTCGAAACCCCTCAAGTGCACTTTCTCGCCATGTCGCAAATAGGATTGCTCTAATACGTTTCTTATAAACAACTCAGTCTTAAGTCATCCCTTGGGAGAATATTCCGGTGAACTGCAGGGAACAGTTACGTACTGCAGCAGTGGGATCCCCGCTGTGGTGCGAAGACGACCACGCATTTCACTGTTCTGGAAATTTCCAAAATATTTTCGACGAAGTCTTTCGAACGAAGCAGAAACTCATCTTTGCGACTTTCATCACCTACGTGAGTACGTTAGGAAGACGGTGTTTTCAAAGATTGCAGGAATAAAAAATTAATTTTTCACGGAACCAGCGTGAGCATCGTTATAATTAACAGCAAAAATACGCTCACATAAATGAACCGCAGCGAATTAAAACTAATAAGTTCGAGATTATTTTTCAAAGCGATAGTAGAAAAAAACCCCAAAATAAAGATACAGTAATGTATTTTACCCCGGACTTCGCGGGATTTTCTTGCGATGTATCTATATTTAAGAATACTGTAGAGTAATCATCTATTTATCAGCGAATTGGCATCATCCTCAAGTATACGAAGTGCTGGCTGCATGTGAAAGACAGCTTGAAATGTTCCAAACAATCTTATGGATCTTATCGTATCTTTTGGCCTGATCATTTAAGAAATATTGAGGCTTTTATTGTAGTCCTATCCTTTTCGTTTCTATTTATCGGTTGTCGTGTGGGAGGACAATCCAAGCGCGTTCCAGATTTTTGTCCGCTCGGCTGCTTAGAATTTTTGCGCTGCCTTGCTTTTACCTGTTGCTGTTTTAATTTTTCTTTCAACCTTATTCGCGTGATTCATTTCCTGCATATGGTTTCAACTCGGAGCATCGTCACTTTATATACGTGCGATGCAACAAATTAATTCATTTCACACGCACGCATAATAGAGGCCATGCTCATTCAGATGCTTGAAGTCCTGTATATAGAAGTGAACACATACGAAAGAACTCGCCATCACGGCTGGATGAGATAATCGAACAAAGTTCGTCGTGATTTTCATCAATCAAATTTATTGACGTGAAAAAATTGCAACCCACCATGCTTGTAAAAATAGATGAGAAAGAAAGCTTCAAGTAATGTACTGTATACAGTACTGTACATCTTCATGAAAAAAATGTTGACTTCTGGGAGTCGAAATGCAAGGGCATCAAAGCAAGTATATAGGCCAACGAATTCGATTTACTAACTCTAAAACGTCATTCTGAATTGCTGAAACTGAAATAAACAACACATGAAAATAAACACTGACCACATGCACCTGCATGAGCACAAAATGCAGGTACAGTACCATGTCCATGTAGATGCGCTTTAGGCTTTTTTAATGAATACAAAATCATGATGATGATTGTCAAGACCATGCGCGAATGTATTTAAGCCACACTAAACTATTAAGAATCGGATCTCTTAAAAAAGTTAACTGTATTTTGAGGACGCGATTCTTTGTGTATTAGCTACTCTTCCAGCAGTGAAGCACGAGGTTATTGCGTGATGAAGCATTTATTATATACCCAAGTGCAGCAGCACTTGAATACTGACACTCGGTAGATGTATAAATAGTCGTGCACATATAGGGTACGGTAGTCTGAAAACCATTCTACAGTACAGTACTGTATTTCTTCCGATCTCTTCCCAAGGACAGTATATATAGCTCGAAACATGTTCGAAAACCTGAAGCGTCAACTGATGGCGAGGCACAAATACGCCCATGTTGATGAGCCGATTTTATCATGTGCATGGAAAGCAACGCTGACGGAATCTTTGACAGACCGATCAAAACATCAATCCCTTCATTCTGAGGAAACGTGCTCCGATTGCGCTTTGAAAAAACCGCGAAAACAGAGCGATCGCCGTCGGAGTCACGGCATTCAAAGAGTTGCCAACGTGGCTCAGACGAGTGCCGATGCACTCCCCAGATCGAAATCGTTCCGGGAAACTATTCTAAGGTACGATAACCAACGAGGACAAAAGGACTGTGATGCTACCACCACATATGAAGATCCGACCCGGAACCTGCATGTACCAATGGCACCAAAGCTAGCGAGAAAGAAATTTCCCATGGTTCCATGCAGGAATGAGAGTCCGGATCCCATGTTCGCTTCGCATTTGCCCAAGGTTCCTTTGTCTCCACACAACAGAATCTCGCGTTGAAAAGTTGTGATATGAACAGTCTACATACCATCAAGAACTTTTGTTTTTGCTGCAGACTAAATCTTAAATTTGATGGGCACATGATGATGTGAGCGTTTCAGATGCTCCGTTGCGAGACCTCAGAAGCACGCGTGTGTGTGTTTTCTTTTAATATTTTACATGAACGAGCACGACATCTTATAGCGTATGCGAGGAACTCCGGATACGATTTTGAACGTCACTTTCTGAAAAACGACGCGCGTTTGATTCATTTTCAACTGAAGGCTAACCTTTTTCTAGATTTCCTCCATCATGCAGAATAAAAGACACTCGAACGCGACGTCCGACGTGAATTAACCAGATGTACGGATAAATCTGCTTTATCGCCCGATGGTACCAATCCTCCGATTTGATTAGATAATTAAAAGGTTTTGGTGATTTTGCTCAAAATTTGAAAACATAAAATGGTTTTACCTTAAAAAATTACCCATAAGCAATTTGAGCACGACAATAAGCACCCCTTTTTACATTAATGAGAAGATTGTTCCGATAATACTCTATAAATCCAACCTCAGACACAGAAATACAACAAAAATAACCAAAGTTTACTTGATTATCTTACTTCGTACAAATGTCACCAAGTGGAAAAATTCGGGATCTTCTGCAATGGGGAACTCCGAAAATGTAAGTTAGAATATAAAATGAACAGATTAGGGTTAAGCCTTTAAGAATAGCACGAGTTCTTTTCAAGATCATTTTTTATACTTTTAGCAGTGCTTCTGGCACATGCCTGATCAATTTAAAATGCATGGGCTCTTTCATTGCATTATGATTCATCTCAGCATTCTTTCATTTGAATTCCCCAATCATGTTCAGACATTGGACTGGAATATAAAAATCAAATTTGTTTCAAAAATTAAATGTTTGCCCGACAGAAAAGAATCAAGAACGAAATCTTCTACCACAACATTATAAAAAATGGACACTCCCAATGAACGACAGCTTCAGTCAATAATTTAATCATTCCGTGCACCTTCCAATCCACAACAACGTAACTTTGGTTAAATATGCGCTACCGGAACGATGAATTTCGTACGTCATCCGCGTAGACGACTAACGCGAAAAAGCACAACCTGCAACACCGTACTTAATCACTTCACCGTGTACCCAAAGTCTCAATGAGAAAACTTAGCGATTCAAGTTTAAGAGCAAAGAAAATAAAACTCTCGATTATCACAATTCACTCCGTGCGAACCATCACCACAGGCCGAAAAACTCCCTTGAATAACTAGCACTTTCAGCGAAAACGCAAGCGGGTGCTAACCGAGATCAAAATCCAAGTACAATCCATGTCATGAACGTAATCAACGCAGGAGAAAAAATGACGTATGACGACCAAATCGCGAATTGGTATTTTTCATCACCCGAGAAAGTGCAAAATGATCGAACCCTCGTGCAAGAAGAAAAATTGCGCGGTGGCAACTTGATTTTTTCATCAGGCTTCTTGCGTTTCTGGTTCCACTTCCACTTTTGGCTTGGTTTCAAATTGTTCCGCAACAGATGTCTTACGTTCTTTTGGAGAGTCGATCTTTGCTGATTTCACCTTCTCCCCAAGGTTCAGTTGCATGTGGTATTTGTAAATATTTTCCGTACTCTCGATCACCCCTGAGATTAATCAAATTAAGCGTCAATGGATTGAAAGATACAAAATTTTGAACGATGTACAGTACTTTCAAAACTTGGCCATCTGCATAACTAGACGAATCTCACCTGCATCCAGATGAAAAGTTCTACCCTTGATTCCTGCCTCTTTCGGGGGCGGAGAAAGCCAGTTATACACGGATCCAACAAGGGGCACGTGTCTCAAAATACCTTCCTGCCAAATCTTTTCTTCGTTTTCTTTTTTCAACGCAGTTTCCGCTGCGACAATCCCTGAATGGGTAGAGGAAAAAGGAAAGTCAGCACTGTACATGTTTTTAGGGCTGCCTAGCATAAAAAATTAAATTTGAATGCGTCCATGGCTGAAAATTCAGTTTGATTTCATGCTCAAGCCATGTTACACATCACCCCCGGCTTGATCTAATACTCAAGTCGCACTTCATCTGACTGAATATGTAAGTCATGCAGGATCTTCTTAGTATACTACTCAACTTGTCAACCCACCTGAAGAACCAAGTAACCTAAGCAAGTACCGTAACATGAAAAATTCCAGTCTTTCAACATGATGTGAGTGCAGATAGAAGAGAACTTCAAAATGAAAGCACTTTGGGAAGAAGCTGAAACGAGGAAAACATTTATTTTACCTTGTCTCACAACGTCAGCCATGCTTTCCACGAACTGTGACGAGTCCTCAATGTCTTCAGCAGTTTGTAGCACAACGTCGACAAGCTCATCCACGTCAGCACCATCCATCACCATTCCAAATCGGACGCAAACCAGACCATCGTCTCCAGTACCTAAAATATGAATGCGATCAAACGCGTCAAAAACATGCTCATTTTTCTTACACGGGGAGAGAAAAAGGGAAAATTACCTTTAGAAAAAGCTGGATCTGTTCCTCGCAACTGCACTACCAATTCGATGTTCAATTTTTCGATTTCTTGTCTTTCGGCATCCAATAAGTCGCACAACTTCCTTGTCATCAGCACTTCACCATCTTCGTTTAATTCAAGAATCTCGTCTCCATTTTCACTTGCTGCCAGACTCTTGCCCGAAGTCAGAAATTTCTTTGGGATATATCGCACTGCCCCCAATCCAGCCCAACCTTTCACATCAACCACCTGAAATCTCCGGCTGAGTTTCACGACTGCAAGAAATTTTTCCCGATGTCCAACAGTAGCATCCAGAACAAGCTAAAAAAAAAGGAAAACATGGTAAGCTTTGCATCGATGGAGAAAAATTTCTTAGTGGATTTCCACAAGAAAAAACCTAAATTAGTGTTCAGAAGCATGCATCATTACCAATTGCTGTTGCAAGTGGTCGCAGAAATTTTCCACACTGGCACTTATTTCATCATTTTCTGGCAATGGGGGATCACCAGAATCTCCGAAACGATGAGCATAATCAAAAGGCATGAACTGCAAGGCCACTCCAACGTCTTCAGAATGTAAAGCATCGATGAGCAGGTTATGCGCGTTTCCGTAATCCTTCTTCAAAATTTGTGCGAGCTAAAAACAAACAGTTACTTACAGTGAGATTTGTAAAGCTTCCGACAATTGGACAAAACAGAGATAATACGCACCCACGAATTGAAATTATCGCAGTAGGCGTCATTGTGCTTCATTTCACCAGCTACAGGAACATACTTGAACGTAACAGCAGGAACCAACTTGGTGAACAAGCTCTGGGCAGATTATAGAATGATAAATTTCCACTACTGTAAAAGCAAAATGCATGACATGCTCACCTGGATGCCCAACGGACGAGAAAGAATACTATCCAAGTCTGCCGTGAAATCGTTTCCAATTGATGCCGGCGACTGCAATTGAATCAAGTATAATACATTTTTTGCCTGCCCTGATACAAACTTTGAATTACCAGTACGCGTAATTGAGGCATTTCCTTCAGCCTAGAAACAAGCTCCAGAATGAATCTGAAAGGCACACGAAGTCTTTCGACAACTCCATTTATTCCAGCATTTGCCAAAGTAGTCCAAAGCGGGAGACAAGCCAGTTTCAGTAGCATGTTGACGGAGTTCAATCCACTTGCTTGCACAACTTTTGCATCAAGCAGTCGGTAAAGCGTCTTATCCGAAGTTTAAGATTCACATTTAAAATCATTGAATGCACGCTCAATTTACGACGATACACTCACGACATTTGGTAAAGCCGGGATGCGCAGCCAGGATGATGGAGAAACTGATATGCTATCAGCAAATGATTCAACGGTCACATTTGTTGATGAAGACAGGGGCAAGGCAGCAAGACAACTACCCTCCACATGCAACCAAAGTCCGTATTTTCGGCAGATTTCCAGACAAGAAACCAAATCATCAACGTGCCCCAATGCAGGAGTACCTTGAAAATGTTGCGAAGAACAAGATGAAGTGGAACGACATAAAAGTCAAACAAATTATATAATTATTCATGGAACAAGACAGTGCGATGCTTATTTGAATATGTAACATCAATCGAAAGGCGCACCACCATTCGAGCCTCCAAAATGGAGAACGTTTGCTTGGAGATATAAGACATTCAGCAATGTCAATTAATTTACTGAAGGAAACTATTGACTCCCTTCATTCAAATCACTACTGAAAGGTTTCAACGGAAATTATGATTCTAACTACAATATTCAATTTTTGAACTGAAGTCCGCGAAAATCATTTGATAAATTGAACTTCAGACTTGATCCCCGTTCAAGTTATAATGCTGTCATTAACTGTTGTAAATATCCGACTCATTAAACTCCTGTACACACTTCACGTTCGAAGATTCCGAAGAAATCTTGTAGCTAGAGCGAGTAACCAACAAAGAATTCATAGGGCATCTTCACTATACGTGAAACTAACCTGCATAAGCTAAAACAATTAAAGGGGTACGTTTTGCGGCTTCATCCTTCTTGATTTCTTCCTCTAGACACGTCAAGTCTACAGCATGATCGACAGTAGCGTCCCCATCAGTAGTTGTCAAGGATTTTGTGGGAACCACGGTCAAACAGGTAGATGGAAGACCAAGTTGAGAGCACACGTATTGGCCAATTCCGATACGGGATGCAGAGCTCACATAGATTACTGGGGGACTATCAATAATAGCTTCAAATCCTTTCGTCTTGTACTCCGGGTATTTCGAGTGCATGAGCATCCGGGAAATCCGCAGAAGACCTTCTCGAGAGTCTTCATGAAAAAAAGAGCTCGCAGATCGATACCTGTAAAGCACATCCAGCAGGGATCAAGTAATATTTCAAATCAGCGTTAATTCGATTTCGTTTACGCGACAAAGATCTAAAAAAAATACTTTACTTGAACAATCGACTGGTCCATATAGCTGCATCCGAATAAATCCTCGAAATCGTCTTGGATAAGGCATTCGGCGGCTGCAGGGTCATCTGGGCAGCAACAGCATGAGAGGTGATGGCAACCATCGCAAGAGAGTCATGTGCTAGTCGCGCACTCCCTCCTCCGGAAGCCAACACAACTTCCTGCATATGTACTTGATGAGTCGGGGAATGCGTAAATAACAGAATTGCATGATACTCACCTTAACATTAGAAAATACATCTTCAGCTGAATATCCTTGCTGCGGCAAGGCTGATCCAAATATGGAGTTACTATCTCTGGACGCAGTTTCAGATCCATGTTCACTGGATGAGTCTAGGTCGAACTTCTCCAGGCCTCTCGTAACATGCTCAATATTGTCTGCGATCATTTCAAAGCTATTCAGTTCAGCCTGTAAAAGAGCAACGGCGCAAATATTATGCGAGTCTTCTTCTTCACAAAACAACACCAAATGAATAATTCACGAAACCTGATTTTTTTTTTCTCGATTGGTCACGTCACAGGCCATTGAATCACAAATTATGTCGAAAAAGATAATAATCGAGAAATATATTGTGCGTCAACTTCCGGAACAACAAAATCATCCACGTCTTCTTGCTCAGGAAATGCTTCAGCTTGCGCTGGTCGGGGAGATCTTGAGTTGATCGAGTGGGATAAAGAAGGAGCAGAACTGTCACTCAGGGCTTCGTTCGTGATGTCTAAGACACCCTGGATAACTACAGCATTCTCACTTTCCCTCAATTCAATTGACGCAACATCAACATCTGAAGGAGAACTCGAATCCTTGCTCGGTACGGCTGAAGCTACTGGCTTATGCTGATAAACGTCACTTGAATCCACGCACGGATCAAGTTCATGCCCGTTTTGTGGAGATGATTGCACTACACCATCCAATCCTGCTGTTACTGGACGCTTCGACGCCTCTGAATGTCGTGCTGCACAATCTGGTTCCACGTACGGTGCAATTTCTTCGCCGCTCGCGGACGACACGTCAGGAAATGAGGGATCTGATCGAAGTACCCCAAGCTCATTTGGTTGTCGACGCTTCACAAGTCCATGCTTCTTCAGCATATGATCCGGGAATTTTGTTCGCTTGATGTTGCACCGACAGACTGAACACCTGATCAATTTTCTCCCTGTAGTCGAAAACAAGTATTTGTCCGGTTTCTCCGCATTTTCGTTAACCCTGACCATTCATAAGATAAATTTTCGTCACTGACACGTAAGATTCCGCAACAAGCACGAACACTCACCTTGACGAAGACATATCATAACCCTTCCACAGTTCAGGAGGTTTCGGCAACTCTTGCTCTAACAACGGCTGACCTAATACCACGTTGTTTCAATTACGAACGTATGTACGCTGATGCATGACGCCCTCTTCGAACACAACAACATCCAAGATCAACTCAACTCAGGGTTTCCTCTTCCTTGCCACGCTTGCCAGCGCCACTTTCTGTTTGAGCCATCAACGACTCTAAGTGGGTGACTTCAACTGCAATATTAAGGGTATAGACTAGGAAAACAAAGAGAGGCGCACATTATTTAAAAATTTCAATAATAACAAAATTTAGGCTAGGTTATTCTCGGTTTCATTCAGTTAAATAGTAATCGAAATGGTCTTCCTACACCAATCTTACCTTGAAATTCCTTCTCAATAACATGTGCTCTTCAGAAAGTCACTCCGTACTGTCGTTGGGATAGGGAGCGGAAGTGAATAGCCCTCTAGCAGAACGGCGTGAAAGTGAGTGACAATGACTTAAAAACTATGCTAGAACGTCCATCGCGTCACTTCGATGCGCACAGCCAGGCTCAGGCACCAGCCCCCAGGACCCTCAGGGTAGAAATCTGTTGCAGAGACCTTCCAGAGGCTCAGTCGATCACTTGCCTGGAGCCAAGTCGCGTCACTCTGGATCCAGATCTGAGAGTCTCTGATAGGACTCATATTTTTTCCCCTTTTGATTTCTGGATTAAGGTACTGTTCGAGGGGTGTGTGGATTCCGCGTGGTGGTTCTCTCCGCTCAATATTGGTACTGTAATAATCAATAAGATATTCGACATGATGGGTCCAACACGTGTATTTTTGCTGGCATTCTTTGAGACGCATTCCAACTGAATACATTAATTTGTAATCTTGAAAATTAAGATGGGCGTTCAAGATGAAGTAATTTACTGCTTCTCATGGGACATTTTGAAGCAATTATAGAAGTTTAAACTTGAATCCCCAGTTTTTTTTAAAGAAAAACTATTCAGAACTAGGTGCATTTGAACTAGCCAAAATTTGTAAGCTAGGTTAGAGTGTAAAGCCAGAGCAGCTATAGTCTCCAATCCAAAAGTTCATTCGCTGGAAATTTTGTAAGCCAGGGCATTTATGTGCCAAAACTCCACTTCTGAATTGTGATTATTTGGAAAATAAAAATTTCCCCCTGAAATTGGTTGATAATTCAATAGAACGAATCATTTTCTGCTTTGAGAAAATCTTTGTCAAAAATATTGAAGTATATTGTGATCGACAAGGGTTGCTGCTCTGGGACTGAAAAATTTATCTACAAAATATATGAATAGAGATTCTGCTGGTGACTGAAGCACTGGTGACATCTTTTATTTACGTTAAAATGTGTGTTGGAGTGTTTTTTTTATTGAAAATGTGAATTTAATGCAGAAATGGAATCGTCTTCGTTTTTGAGAAATTCTCAAATTCCTGTAAGCATAATATATTCATAATTTTTTACCCGTATTAACTTCGTATTTTAACATCTGAAATCTGATGATTAAAAAAACAGACATTAACTCGTCAAACTATTTCCCTTTGTCGAGGAAAACGATCTTTACCAACATGTGTATTTTGCCGCAATAATTGGAAAGCTTAGTAATACTGTATACAATTTTTGTCTTATATATCCACCGTCCTCGTTGTTTTCCCACCGTCCCCAAATCTTGAACAAAGCTGTACAGTATTTTTGAATTTTCGGCAAGCTGTCGATGATATCGCATTATTCAAAAACGAATCATGAATAATCAACGATTTCAGCAGATACCGTTATCAACATGGGACTCATGAAGTGGGAAATATAGTGACAGAGACATTGTTTATTGTCATAATTGTTGAACTTGATTGTGAGAAAAACTCAGCGGAAGAAACTGGAGATGCAAATTTCAGGTTTCATGGACAGACGGAGTCGATCTTCAAAAACTTTCAAGGTGAGTTTGGAATGATTTGTCTTGCTCCATTAGCATTATGCATTGCTGGTCATATTCTGAGACTTTGTTTTAATCAGATACTATTTTATATATTATTGAATTTTAGAAACTAATGCCAAAGATTTTTCTAGGTTATTGGAACCACGAATTTTGCATAAGAGCTGAATCCTCACGAGATCGGTGCCTATATATGCATCGGATGTGCTCATCGTGTTTTTGTGGACACATGTTTGTACAGTAAATAAAACTTTCGAAACCACAAAAGATGCGCCAAAATTCTGGAATGCTTGGAAAAATCATCTGAGCTTCAAGAAGAATCAATTTGACTTTGTCATCGCTAAAACGAACCTCAAGATCGACTGGCATTGTGTCACTCGCTTTTATCGTAATTTTATTTTTTATAAAAAAATAATTTCTAATGGAAAAGTCTTCTTTGAAAGTCTCAGTGGGGTTTCAGATACTTTTTCTTCGCTATTTCCCGTGTATCTCTGGAAATTCGCTGGGTTCGTGCGGACTTTCCTTAGAAGATAATGCTCGTTTTTTTTTTTGTTAACATTGTTTGTAAATAAAATACTGTACGTAGATAATGTTTCCCCCATGTTGGTTCATTCAAACTGGACATTTAGATACATCCATACGAATCCTGAGTACCGTAAATTCTTAATGAATTTCGGGCTGGTAAAAAAAATCGCTGGCACTCGAAAATTATCCACAATCATCAAACTGGTGGACATTCACATAGATTCTCACGAATTCTGAGTACAGTAAACCATTTATGAATTTCCGACTGGTACAAAACAATTTCCATCACTCGAAAATTATTCACAATCGTCGTGATATCCACCATGAGCCAAAATCGCGTGACGATGATCTCCATGTAAGTAGCGCGGGCTAAAATTCGTCAGTGATGATGAAAATACTGAACATGATAATTATTCTATCTTGACTAATTTTAAAGAGTCCATTTTCACGAATACATTTAAATTGTCTCTGGTTAAGCGAGTGGAAATCCGTATTCACGAGAATCGCTTATTCCTCACAGTACGCTGAATTCGGATCCCATTTTCACGGAAGATTTGCAGCGCGATTGAATGCGAAACGGAAAATTATTAGCTTTGGGTTCGAAAAGGGGGAAAGGAATGAGCTTCGCTGGGTCCGTGCCACCAGCTGCGGTCGACGTGGGTGACAATTACGCAGTTGAAGCAAGATTTATTGACTGTAGCTCAATCCTATTAAAGTATTTCGCTCTTATACCACAAAAAATAAGAGTCCTCGCTGAGTGAAAAGGGGAATACATGAGTGAAGTACAGGGTGCTGAGATGCACTCTCCACAATTAAGCTCGGAAAATTTGGATTAAGTTGCGCCTCGGTCAATGGACCGAATCGATCGAGTGGTCGTCTGTAAACCTGAAATTGTGTTAACCTCACCACATTAAATGTTGAACGTAGAAAGGCATCGATGCATTGCAAATGCCTTGCAATTTTCTTCATGTTTTCTTGAATAGGTAGATTAAAAATGAACCCATATGTTCATGAAAATAACATATTACCAACAACAAAGCTCCGAGTTCAAATAAAATCGGTGACACAAAAAGGTTCTACCATTTTGAAAAATGACGCTGAAAGATAAATTCACGCATCAACCCGATTTTTCCATCGGACAATCACTTTTTCGTAGTCCATAATCCGAAGTAGAGCCCTTTATCTGAAGCAAAAATTCGTATAGCATGCTGACACTTTCTATTCTGCAAAAAAATATCTCATGCAAATCGTTCTGCATCAGAATCATTAGTGAATTTTGAAAAGTTATGTGCATATAGTTTCAAAATTTTGTCGAAGGAATACGTTTAAGAAGAATAAGGTAAAAGTCGGAAATTATCACATAAACGAGCTCTATTTCTGAAAAAGTGAATACAATTTTTAGTTTTTTTCGGGAAAAATCCTTAGTTTGATTTATTCAAACATCTACCACAGGATAGAAAAACCAAATAAGTTTATTAAATTTGCCACACGTCGTTTCGTCTCCTTTCACAGACCTGCACCAGCAGAGTCGTAATTCCCGAAAAAGCCCAAAAATCGTTCCCATTCCACTTTTGGATAGAGAGCAGGAGGATTTTTTGAATGATGCCAAGATTTTTCATTTTTACATTTTAAAATCCACCTTCCGGTGCAAATTCTGTATAAATACAGTGAGCCCCCCCCCCCCCCCCCCCCCCCCCCCCCCCCCCCCCCNAAGAAAAACCCCCCCCCCCCCCCCCCCCCCCCCATGCGGACACCTCAACCTGAAGACAATTTAACATAGGGACACTTATTTTCTCATGAAAAAATTAATAAAAAAGGCCCAACATGAGGACACTGACTCAGCATAGGGACATTTTTTGATTAAATTGCAAATATATTTTAGGTCAAATTACAAGAAACAGATATTTCCAACACAAAAATTGATGTAAGAAAAGCTCTTGGGAATTTCTCTCGCCATTTTACCATCCAATTAGCTGATTTAAAAAATTACCTCCAGTAGGGACTTCCTTCTCTCCTTTTCACACAAAAGTCTTCTTTTTTTTTTTTTTACAGAGAATGCCAACATTTCAATGTACTGTACAGAGGCATCAGTATTCAATTCCCCAAATGTCCATATTGTTTTGAAATATATTTGTTGAATCAGTTTAAATTGGGGAAAATTTTTATTTTCATGGAATTGTGGTGAGTATTTTGTACATAAAACACCAATTAAAAATTATATAATGTAAGTCTAAGTGAACATGAGACTTGTGGTAGGGACATTTTGACTTAGAGACACTCTTGATGCACCAATTAAACCTGCATCTCCGGCTCTCACTGTACATGCCTCCATCTCCCTGGAGTGTCCAGTTTTTTCGTAGGCCACTTATACAGGCCTGGGACAAATTCCAAAAATGCATGTTCCTATCTCCCTGGAATATTCAGTTTCTTCTTGGGTCTACAAGCGAGTGAATTATCCTTCAGAATAAAAATTCAATCAAAAGAAAAATTCGAGGGAAGAGGGAATCGGTAGAGCAACAAAAAGCTGACGATGAATAATTCTGAGTCTGCAGCTCGAGGAAGGCATCAGGTGCCATTTTCGTTCCCCCCGAGGGAACACATTGCCATTATTTTTCGCAAGCCCCGTCGGAACCAAAAGCTTCCCCTTTCCACTTCACTGGATTACAATTTCATCCTGGACCATTAGGAAGAAAAATCCACTGCAAAAATTTCCTCCGCGAACCGGAATCCTCCGAAAACACGACTGCTGCATTGAACGGGACCTGGAATGAACTTCCCTCTGCAGAATTCCCTCCGTTTGTGCGATCACTTTTACCTTTTTGAACTTAACAAATCGAACACCTTAATTGGATGACCATTTTAAAAATGATTTTGTACGCATCCGTCTGATGAAAAAAAAAAGATGCAATCTACGAGGATATTTTTTCCATTTTTTGATCAACGAAAGTATGAAGCTATCTGAGGCAAGTTTTCATGCTTTTTTCCAGAAGTGTGAATGACACCACGAATGCATGTATTCGATGTTTGATGTATTCAATAACATCAGGCACATTTTAAAAAGATTGAAAAGACACTGCGAATATGTCTGCGAAACAACTGTCCAGAAAGTTTTTCAATCCTTACAGACATAAGTTATCTGAGAGTCCGCTAAACTTTTTCCGCTGCCCCAAGTCACATCTGAATACAAAATTCCAGAAAAGCTGAGGATTCAGTCATCAAATTTTACTTACTGAGAACCTT